TCTTTGCTGAAGTCCTGCAGGTCCAGCGACAGACTGTAGCCAGGAAGCGTCTGCAGGAGGAGGCGGGAGCAGGCCTTCCCGCCAGGCTCCGGGAGGCCGGGGGCCGCGCGCCGCACGGGGGCCACCCTCTTGAAGGAGGCGGACTTGCAGTGGAAGCCGATCAACTCGTAGAGCTCGGAGAGGAGGCTGCACTGCTGAATTCTCTCCTCGGAACGCTGAAGCACAGGGAGAAAAGCAACAAGCACCTGAACGAAACATGTCAGTGAAAAAAGACCCGTAAAAAAGTTTTCCCTTAAAACAGAGACCCGATGACACAGGAAGGAAGAGGAAGACTGACTCAGTGCCCTGACGGGACCGGATGCAGAAACGCAGGGAAGCAGCGCTGTGCAGACGCTCCAGACCCCCTCCGGGCCCCACCTCTCCGCGTTCCGCCTGTCCTTTTACTAGAAAGGCCCGTATTCCCTGAAATAGAGGAATCTGCTACATAAACATGGGACACAGAGAAGGGAAAGAGGAAAAGGAAGGGAAAGTAAAGGAACAACAGTTCATCTAGAGCCTAGGGTCTGGGCTGGACTTTCACCAAACACACAACCTCTCAAAGCACAGAGCGCACAGTGAGAGGCTGACAGAGTGACTGCGACTTCTGCTCCTTAAACACCAGCTACCTGCCAGCACACGCTGCGCCCGTTACTGAATCATTACAATCATCTCAGAAACTGTTACTACCCCGGCTCACAGGCAAGGAAATCTGAAACTCGGGGAGGAATTATTATCATCCTGGACAAAGTCCCACAGCCCGGAAGTGTCAGAGCCTCCGGCAGACCCTGCACTAAAATGCTCCGCTTCACCACGGGCCCTGAGCCTCAGGCTGAGGCCACGTCAGGCCTGCACGGGCCCAGAGCATGAGTCTGTGGGACAGGGAATGCTCCCACTCGAAATGCCAGGCCAAGTCCCTCAGGAAGCTATGTAATGAAACTAAATCCCCAAACTCATTTCCAACCCACTGCCCTGTCTGGGACGACTGCTCGGAACATCTGCGCTGTCACCTGTGCACAGGCTGTGCAAGGGGCCCAGACAGTGACGTGACGTCCCAGTGGAAGTGGCTCGGAGACCACTTCATCGCAGGACAGACTCTCCCGGCTTCCAACGTAATCGCTCCATTCCATTTCCAACCGGAAAGTAAGTTTAGACTTGTTTTCCTCTCCTAGAAACAAAGAGAGTGGTAACATCAGCCAGAAACTCAAGACTGAGGAAGTGTCTCCTGGCCATCTGGAAG